GATATCTCATAGTTGTTTTAATTTGCATCTCTCTTAGGGCTAGGGATTTTGAGCATTTCTTCATGTGTTTGTTAGCCATCTGAATGTCGTCTTCGGTGAAATGCCTGTTCATATCCTGTGGCTGCACCTTCTCTAAGACATGTCTGTTTGTTCTTTTGTCAGACCATGGAATATTCAGTATTCTCCAATACTACAGCTCAAAGACATCAAGTCTTCTGTCATCTTATTTTTCTTCTTTTTCTGTTATCTTTAGTCATTGTCCAGCTCTCCAGATGTATAACAGGTGCAAATCTATATCCAGAGTGTGTCTATTCCAGTAATAACAAACCACTACCTTTTCCATGATTGAAGTGGTCCGATGTAATCAACCTGCCACCACATTGCTGGGTGATTATCTCAAGGAATGGTTCCGCAATAAAGACTCAGTGTTGGTCTCAGATACTGCAAGATTACACATTCAGCTAAGGCTGTAGCCAAGTCAGCCTTGGTGAGTGAAACTCCATATTGCTAAGCCCAGGGAAAATTTCTATTCTTGCCACATGATGTCTTTTTTCATGTGTCCATTAGGAGTGGCTGTGCAAAGAGGATGGCAAGTTTCCACAGAAGGTGCTGCTCTGACTATTTTATTGCTAAAATCCTCTCCTCTGAGCTCACCCTTCAGTGAGCAGTCACATGAATCACAAACATCTTTATTTCTTTCATCCATCTAAAGAAGTCTATTCACATACCCCCTTGTTACGAATTTCAATCATGTTCCTTCCAAATCCCTGGCCATCTAGGCAAACCATTGGCCACAGTACAAGAATGAATATACCTGTGCAGGCAAGACCAGAAATGACTCATCTGGCCATTTCTCCTTCCCAGCAAAGCGGTCAGGCACACTGCTTAAAGTTCTGTCCATTGGGTGGATTTACCTTCATCACTGTCCTTTGAGGAGGTCCTAAAAAGAAACTTCAGTTCTGTTGCTGTCCGTATTACGCAGAGCCATCTATAAATCAGGCATTCATTTTCTCTTCCTTAAACAATAAATCATAAGATACTCTCAAAGAGGCCAAAGGTGCCAATTGTTTCCCAAACATTTGTGCCTTCAGTTCCTACTTGAATCTGATATCATACGTATCACTTCCATTTAATGATAGAGTGATGCTGTGCACATCCAGCTAAACTTAGTGGGTCATTATAGGTAACTCAGGCCACATGGTGATTTGGTGGTTCATACTCAATCCAAAAGTTGTTGGCACTCAGTCTCAATCTAAAGGTTGTTTCTCAAAAGAAGAGTAGTTATGTTCAGAGGATGACAGGGATTTGTTCCAAAACCCTAAGGGTCTGTAATATGACTCACCAATAGGGGCTGGCCAGAGACTTAAAACAGAATCTCTGTCTGCCACTGACATTTCAAGCACCACTGGAACAACCAAATCATATGGCTCAAGTGACAGAGCAGTTTGCCCAGAAGCTTGAATCTGTTGTGGTGTCTTCTTTTGTTCTGGGTCTCAGTCAAAGCTAATGACTTTTTAAATCACTTAATGTATAGGCTAGAGTAGCATACCCCAATGCGGGCTATGTTGCCTCCAAACTCTAAAGCGGTCTATCAGGCATCGTACCGCCTTTTCAGTTGTGAGGGGAGCCAGCTGCAATAACTTATCCTTTATTTTCTAAGGACTATTGTGACACTCGTCTGTCAGTTTGCTATAATGTGGTGGCTTGTATGTTGCTGCAAGTTATGCCACCAATGTTTCAAATACCAGCAGTGTCACTCATGGAGGACAGGTTTAAGTGGAACTTCCAGACTAAGACAGATTCACAAGCATGACAGGCCGTCCACTTCTGAAATAGCAGGCCTTTGAACATTCTATGGACAATGGAAGAACACTGTTGGATTTAATGCTGGAAGCTGAGCTCCTCGGGTTGGAAGGCACTCAAAATGCAACTGGGAGAAGCTGGCTCCTCAAAGTCAAGTTTACTGTAATGAAGGGGGGGGGGGAGTAAAGCTTTCACCCACTAAAGGACCTTCATTTGCTGGTGTGACAAGACTCAAAAATGACGAGAAGCAGCTGCAAACGTCCATTGATAATTGGAACATTAAATGTTGTTTGTTGTTGTTAGATGCCATTGAGTCGAGTACAACTCGTCGCGACCCTGTGAACAACAGATGTGAACCTGCCCTGCCCTGTGCCATCCTTACACTTGCTGACACGCTCAAACCTATTGCAGCAGTCACTGTGTCAATCCACCTGGTTGAGGGTCTTTCTCTCTCTCATCAACCTTTCCAAGATGAGTTCCTTCTCCAAGGAATAACCTCTCCTAGCAACATGCCCAAAGTATGTGAAACAAAGCTTTATTATCTTGGCCGGCAAGAAGCCCTCTGACTACACTGTCTCTAAGATGTATTTGTTCTTTTGGCCACCCATGGGATATTCAGTACTATTCCCCAACACCACAGCTCAAAGGCATACATTTTTCTTCTGTCATCCTTCTTCATTGTATGAATCTAGGAAAGCTGAAAGTTATCAAAATTAAATGCATTTTGAACTCATGACTACTGCTATCCTAGGTATTAATGCTTTGAGATGGACTAATATTGGCCATTTTTAATAATCACATGATCAACTATTCTGAAAACAACAAATTGAAAAGAAATGTCATCCATAGTCAAAAGAATATTTCAAGGTCCATCCCGAAGTATAATGCTGTGAGAGACAGGATACTATCCATACACATACAAGGAAGACCTTGTGTATGCTTAATATACTGATGATGTTGGAGGTTTTGTGTACCTTCGAGTCAGAACCAATCCATAGCTTACCTTCCAGGGAGTTTTCAGAGGGAGTTAATTGCACAGGAGGTGATTACCCGTACTGATAGGGCTGAAAAGTATTAGTTTCCTCTTTCCAAGACACTTAAATATAAATGTAAATTCTAATTCAGTACATCTGTGAGGGGGAAAGGCAAAGTCTTAGCAGAGAAGGGAACCAGAATGAACCAATTTAAAGCCTGGGAAGGAATAAGAAAAGAAGGTGCTAACAGGAGGTGTATGCTGAGAGGATTTGTGGGATTACAGAGCCCTGGCACTCGGTATACATATGTTGAGCACACTAAGTGCGAGGCCTTTGTGTCCTGAATTCTGCTCACTTGAGTCCTGGAAAAGGGTGATGGAGGCTCTGCTCTGGGGAGGCAAGAGCCTGCAATGCATTGGGCACTGGAGGCCAGCCAGCCTCCAGTTATGAGATGGGAACTCACACAGCCTCAGATGTGCAGATAAGAACCAATCTTGAAGTTGGCTGACTCTGGGCAAGTCATTATCCCTCTGGACTAGTTTTTTTGGCTTTTGGGTTGTCTCCTGCATACTAACCCTTTTAGCTCTTGCCACTGCATTGCCTTGAGGGTTGGAGACAATGACAGACATAAAACAGTTTACATGAAAAAGACTCTGTTACTTCTGGGCTTAGGTTTATTGGAAAGATGAAGACCGTGGCATTTGCAGCCCTCATCGGTGTATTAAATGAATTAGAAAGTAAGAGGGGGCTAGCTGTTCCAGTTCCGGGAGAAAACTGTCCCCTTGAGGCAGAACCTCTGGGCTGGTGGTAACAAAGGACTTGGGAAGTGAATTGTGGAGTTAGAGAGATTTCTTTAATAGCTTCTCTGCCATTACACTGCTGTACGGAGCTCTGGTGGCCTAGTTGTAAGGAGCTGTTCTGTCAGCCCAAAGGCACATGGTTTGAATCCACTAGCTGCTTCGTGGGAGAAAGACAGGCAGTCTCTTGTGTGATTTAGTGCATCTGAAAACCCCCTAGAGGGTCGCTATGTGTTGATTCTGACTTGTACATAACAACAACAATAATGCTGTGGATTAGCATCTAATGATGCTGTGGAGAGCTTTAGGGGGCAACCAAGAAGGTAGGTAATCCACCGGAAATTGGGTGAAAGGAAGTCCTAGAAGACTGGAGTCTCCTTACCCAATGAGGTCACGTACGGTGGGGTTACTGGGAAGGTGGGTAGATAGATGTGGGCGTGGAAGCACAGCTGTGAACCATGCAGGCACATGCACATCACGTACCTACATGATGGAGAAAATCCACCAACTGGTGCTTTTTGCCACAACTTGGAGCTGTGCGCAGAGACTGGCATTCAGCACCACAGCCTCAAACGTGGGAGCACCACTCCAGGGCAGTGCTCTCTGAGAGAGGAAACAGGAATCTACAGTTGCCCACTCTGTCTTGGTCACTGATGGGGCACTGTCTTCAGAGAGCTTCCCTGCCTAGTGGGTGGCAGGGAGCCTCACAGGACCTCTGTCCCTCTCTCCTGCCTCAGAAGAAGAGCAAGGTGCACTACCATGTTGCTGTCATCATCAACTACCTGGGCCACTGCATCTCCCTGGGGGCCCTCCTGGTGGCCTTTGTCCTCTTTCTGCGGCTCAGGTGAGAGGCTGTTGGGCTGCACGCCCCCCCCCCCCCATCCTGTACATGGGCCTTTGTGGAGTGGAGGAGTTTCAGCGATGGGTGACTCTGGGGTGGGGCTGCTGGTAGGAGGGGATCCTGCCCCCTTATTTCAGTGGGAGAGGATGTCTTGGGCTACCTGGGACCTTTGGTGAATAACTTTTGTCTCTCTCTAAGACCTGCTAGGTGGAGGGTGGGGACAAAGATCAGGCTTGCCTTGTGCTGTCCACACCAAGCCAGCAACACCCACTTGAGGGGACGGGGATAGGAACTCCATGGAGTTTGTCACTTTCAGTTGGGAACTGACCTGGAGCCCCAGCACTATTGCCAAGAATGCAGGTGGCAGTGCCAGTCAGGGCTGTGCCAGGAATGGGGAGGGCGGGAGCATGGCTGAGAATTGAGCCTTCTCAACATAGACCCCTCATGCTGGTCCTTTATTCTGGGTGAGGGGAGCAGGATGAGAGTGAAGGCAGCTCAGAATACCCCCAGAGAGACTTCCATGGAGCCTACACCCTTAGGGATGGGGTGGGGACCAGCAGAGCTTGGAGTTCCTTTTATTGCTGGTCCTCTCTCTGGGGAGCCAGAGTCCCCTCTGCAGAGGAGAGACCTCGGTGGGATGTCTCCATGAGATGGCTCGTCCCCTCCCTGAGCCTGATTCCTGAACTTGATCTGCACCACAGTGTTCCAAGACATGACGTGGAGCCCAGCTGGTCCAGGTCCTGACAGACACATCCCAACTGGGCATCCTTAGACCAGTTACTCACCTCTCTGGGCATCACCTTCTGCCTCCGTAGCTAGTGAGGGGAATGCCATTTTGACGACTGTAAGGGAAACACAGAGCGCTTTACATGAAGTCAGTACTACACACATGGCAGCAATGGAGATCACTGACCTCACAGGAGGCTTGTATGTCTTCAGAGATTAGCTGCACCTTGACGTGGTTCTGACCTCAATCCTCCTTGAACTGCAGGGGAAGGAGGGGCCCATGAGAACAAAGGGAGGAGGACCTCAGACAGTGAGCAGCCCCTGGTTGAGAGGGCTGCAAACAAGAAGGGCCTCGCTGCTGTCACCTCCCACATGACCAGTCAGCTCTTCTCTGAGCCTCCGTTTCCCCATCCGGGTATCTGGGCTGGAATGAGACTGGGACCTTCTCCATCCCTCACTTCTCCCCTTGCTCCTGTCATCTGCCCATCCCTGCTGCCTCCAGGAGCATCCGGTGCCTGAGAAATATCATCCACTGGAACCTCATCTCAGCCTTCATCCTCCGCAACGCCACGTGGTTCGTGGTCCAGCTCACCATGAGCCCCGAAGTCCACCAGAGCAACGTGGTGCGTCCTGCTTGGGGCGGGGGGCGCGAGGCGGGGCCCAACCCAGAGTCAGAGGCTGGGCTTCCCTGGGGGACAGGCCTGGGGTGGGGGTCTCGCTCTCCAGAGGAGTGGAGAAGAGGCCCGAAGGTGGGGTGCTGCTCTGCCTCTGCTCCTCCCCCCCTCCCTGACTCATGGTTGTCTCTGGTGGGACTGGGGGTGGCAGGCCTGGTGCAGGCTGGTGACAGCTGCCTACAACTACTTCCATGTGACCAACTTCTTCTGGATGCTCGGCGAGGGCTGCTACCTGCACACGGCCATCGTTCTCACCTACTCCACCAACCGGCTGCGCAAGTGGATGTTCATCTGCATCGGCTGGGGTGAGCAGGGGCACCCCCAGCTGCCCACTCCTCACCCTCACCCAGACACAGGCCGGCTGGCTGGGGGCTGCAGGGCCATGGCTCAGGTGGGAGTAGTGGGCTGCACCCATAGTCCTTTGCTCCTGCTCAGGGACACCTTGAAGGGGACTTTGTGGGTGTGAGCTCTACCCTCAGGGCTCCCCTCAGGCCCTGGGCTGTACTGAGGTTCCCTAGTCCTTGGTGACAGCCCTGTCTCTCCCACAGGCGTGCCTTTCCCCATCATCGTGGCCTGGGCCATTGGGAAGTTGTACTATGACAATGAGAAGTAAGTCACCTGCTTTGCTGCTCTCTGCCTGACACTAAAGGCCTTTGACCAAGCCCGCGTCCCTCTCAAGCCTCGGTTTCTGTGTCTCTAATGAGGGACTGGACTCAGAAGCTCCCTAACAGTGCTCTGTCTAAGGGGTCCTGGGTGGGCAGGCATGGACCCCTTTTCTCTGCCTTGATGGGCTTTCAGAAGAGGCAGGCAACACAAGGGTTATGGCTGCCTCTGCAATCAGATTGCCCTGCTTCTGAATTGTGCTCCCTTATTAATTATCTGTGTAGCATGAGCTGGTTTCTGTGGCCTGCCTTGGTTTCCTTATCTGTAAAATGGGTAACCTAACGATAGCATCTACTTCAAAGAGTTTCTATGTGGGTAATATGGATTCACATATATACTAAGCACTCTGCTTAATGCACGGCACATAGTAAACTCTATATAAATACCTTCAGTGCATATTCAGACATGCATTAGCAAACGAGTTCGTGGATTTAATAAAAATTGTAAACCAGAGCATCAGACCAAACCAGATGCACTGTCCTCACATCATTTCCAGCTGCCAACAACCCTGCAAGGGCCCCATTGGGCCTCCAAGACCTGAATCTTTATGGAAGCACAAAGCTTTGTATTTCTCCCTCAGAGGAGCTTGTGGGTTTGAACTGCCAATCTTTCAATTAGCAGAAGAGCGCTTAACCACGGTACCAACAGGCCTCCTTGGCCCAGGCACTGTTATTAAGTGCTGTGGACTAGGACTTTTTAAAAGCTGTTTGGGGGAGTCAATCGCGTAGCTGAGATTGAGAACTCCTGAGCAAAGGAGGCAGGCGAGGTGGGCTTAGACAGCCTTTTGGGTCCCAAGGAAGTCACTGGGACCTTCTTCACTCAAGAAGTGATCCTAGGAGCCCACTGTTTGACTGGGGTTCAGGCAGCCTCCCACACACATTCATTGCTCTGCCACCCCCCTCCCCAGAGTCTCCACAGCCCACCTGGGTGCAGCAATGAGCCTGGAATCTTATATTCCGTGTTTATCCAGTGACTCCTTCCTGACTCAGGCCTGGCTGGCCGTCAGTTCATTTGCACAGCTGCAGAGTGGGGGCTTGGGCTCGGAGGGGGGCCAGTGAGACATGACTGGCACAGACTGGATGGTGATGTCCATCCGGACAGAGTCTGGGTCCCCAAACAGTAGCATCATGTGTCTGCGGGTGGCCACATGTGTGTGAGAGTGCAGGGGAGGGGTGGAAGAACGAGGTTTGGTGGGGGGAAGTGTGAACAGGGAGAAAGATACTGGGTGACCGCAGAGAATCTGGCTGAACAGCTCTAAACCCCCCCTAGTGGTAAAGTGCTGACACTTCAGCAGAAGGGATCGAGGTGTGTCCTCAGAACTTTGAGACTGAAAATTGACACCAGGGACCCCAAGAGCTGCTTGGACCTGGTCCAGAGATGGGCTGCTTTAGGTCTAGGCAGTGTTTTTTGATTGTTGGGTTTTTTCCTTTGAAAACCTGAGTTTTCCGCTCACTTGAAAATATTCAAGAGTTTTTACAGAGAAATCTATTTTTAGTTTGAGGACGTGTCCTAAGACCCAGACCTTTCAAGATCAATCAATCCTAATGAGCTTCCAGTTTGTGCTGGGCCCACCCACTTCTCAGATCTCCCTATTTCTTATTGGTGGAGAACTCAGGAAAATGCAAAGCTACCGATGCAGGACTCTGCCTTCTGCAGATGGCACCTGTGGAAATGTACTGATTTTCTTGAGCTTGTTTGAGGCTGCAATTAAACAGAATCAGACTGATAACTGTTGGACACCTAGGGCATCAGGCGGAGTGCTGGGACGAAGTAAGAACTGAAAGAGGGGTAACTGGAGGATACAGTGGTATATTGCATCCACACCTAAGGGTGGACACAGTTCACACTGTTCATTGGCCCCTCTGGTCTTCGCCACAATTCCCCTCCTCATCACAGCTTTACCTCTCATGAGAGAGGATTGCTGCCCAACTTGCAGATGGGATAACTGAGGTGCTGTGGTGGGATCAAGTGGTTTGGTCTCTGCCAGGGCTAGAATTAGAAGGCCCAGATCTGGCTCCCAGGCCTAGCCCAGCTTGGCCCAACCTCCACCCCGTGCTGTGGAGCCCTGTACCTAGATATTCTACCTCCCCTCACCCCGTGGTCTTCTAGGTGCTGGTTTGGCAAAAAACCTGGAGTGTACACTGATTACATCTACCAAGGCCCCATGATCTTGGTCCTGCTGGTAAGAACCTGGGTGGGGGGGTCAGGATCAAGGGGGCACAGTGGAGAGAGGCTGTCTTCTGCAGTGGACCCAAAGCATCCCTCAGTGTAGGAGTGAGGTTACCCAGTGAGGGGTCCCAGCTGAGAAGGGGCAATGATAATAGAAGCAGAGGAGGAACCTTAGAAAGGAGAGAAGCCAGACATGATCATACCGTTCTTATCGTTATGTTCAAATTCCAGATCAATTTTATCTTCCTTTTCAATATTGTCCGCATACTCATGACCAAACTTCGGGCATCCACCACATCTGAGACCATTCAGTACAGGTACCTGGTTTCCTCCGCTGTCCCCACCTGAGGTTACCTCAGAGAACCTGACCTGTGGCCCAGAGTCCCCCCACCCCAGGCCTGGTAATCCCTCTGCACCCTGGATCCCTGGGGCGGGGTGTGACTCTGGGCTCCCTCCCTCACCCCCAGGAAGGCGGTGAAGGCCACTCTGGTGCTGCTCCCCCTCCTGGGCATTACATACATGCTGTTCTTCGTGAACCCCGGGGAGGACGAGGTCTCCCGGGTGGTGTTCATCTACTTCAACTCCTTCCTAGAGTCCTTCCAGGTACTGAGTGCCCCCTGCCCAGCTGCCTCTCCTCCCGAGGGGCCAGGTCCGTACCCCTTCAATGGGAATTCTCCCAGGTCACAGCCCGCAGGAGCAGGAGCCTGGGGCACAGCAGCGGGCACCAAAGTTGGGACCTGTCCCCACCCCCTGACAGCTTCTCCCTCCACGCAGGGCTTCTTCGTGTCTGTGTTCTACTGTTTCCTCAACAGTGAGGTAAGAGCCCCCAGGGCCTGGGGCTGGCCAGGGAGATAGGAGGCGGTGTGCTCCGAAGTCCCTAAGGGGTTGGGTTTAGAGGGTCCCTGTCACCTCCCTGATCTGCTGATAACAACCTACTCCTTTGCTTTCTTGGGCAGTTGGCATGGGGACAAGAAGCAGGGCACTCCATCTCATCTGTGGAATGGCTTGCAAATTGGCAAGGGCTGAGCTCAGGGAAAGGGTCCCGAACAGGTTGAGGGTCAGAACCTTACTGACTAAGTATGGATTAGAAAAAGATGCCCATCTCAGAACACAGAGAATCAGCAGCAAATATGCAAATAAGTGATGTCCATGAAGTGCGCCACCTCCTGGGTGGCCCCTGCACGCAGCTCTACGTGCAGCCGCTCGGTTTGTGAGTGTGTTGGCCAAGGTGCAGCCCTAGCTCAGATGTCACTCTGTCCTTTGCCCAGGTCTGCTCGGCCATCCGGAAGAGGTGGCACCGGTGGCAGGACAAACACTCGCTCCGTGCCCGGGTGGCCCGCGCCATGTCCATCCCCACCTCCCCAACGCGGGTCAGCTTCCACAGCATCAAGCAGAGCACGGCCCTCTGAGCTGGGACTGGGGCAGATGATCAACGTGTTCACCTGCTGCCCTGTTAATGGGGGAGTGTCAGTTCCTATCCGCCTTCCACCCCCCAAGAGCAGCCGGCCCTGAGAGCTGGAGACAGCCTTCCTGCACCTCAGCTGAGCTGAGAGTTCTGGGCTTGTGAGAGTGGGTGGATGGATGGAGAAAAACCCACGGCCTAGGGATGGGCCCAGGGCCTCTGGCCTCCCTCACCCCAGCCCTCCCTGGAGAACCAGCTGGAAACCCAAAGGCACACACGGATTCCTCCATGCGGGCCTCTCCTAGATTATAGGACGACCTGGCCACCAGGGACTGTCCTCAGGGAGACCATGGGGACTTCTGTGACAGTGTGCGAGCCACCACAGCAATGCCTCTGGAACCAAGGTCATGTGGTCAGAAGCCCCAGTGATATCACCAGGTATCAGGTGGCATCATTAGAAGTTGTGTGACATCACCTGGTATTAGCGTTCCCAAGACACCGAGACTTCGTCTGAAAGAACAGCCCTATCTGGCTGCCTGGCCCCCTTGGGCCCACACTACACTACCCCATCCCAGTACACCCACACTCCTCCACTGGACAATACCTCACCCCACTCCTGTCACTACCCCCTCCTAGGTGTTACCCTTTCTGAGAAGCTGGGGGTGGGTGAGTGGCCAAGTTGTATCCTCAACCAAAGCCAGTCCCCCTCTGAAACAAACAGATGGTGTTTGGGCACATCCAGTGGCTTTGGGGGCACTTCTGTGGGTACAGGAAGCATATATGTCTGGAGGGCCACAGGGCATGGTTGTTGCTTAGAAAGACAGGTGACAGAGCGGGGCCTCGGCCCCCTGCCCAAGTGCCTGGAGCCTGCCACACGGCGCTCGTGGTAGTGACCCAGCCAGCCGGTGGCTGACACAGAGAGGACCAGTCCAGTCCCCGGGCCCCCTGTATCCAGGACAGCCAGAGTGGAGATTTCTGCAGGGACCTGGAACTTTGGGGGTACCAATGTGAGGGGGTGACTGATGTAAATAATATTTATCTTTTCAACTAGTGTTTGTAAAAGTCTGACTATGCCCAGGACTGGGTGAAAAGGGGGTTTGGGGGAGGTACAGATCATTTGTCACACTCCAGGGGGTGGCTGTTGGGCTGAAACCACTCACCCCCACCCAGGACAGGACACTAGATGAGCCCTGAAGGTGGGGACAGTAGAAGGACAAACACAGAAGGATCTAGAACGACCATTTCATTTTATAAGGAGGTGGATTGGAGCAGAGAAGGGTAGTGGTTGGTGATGAAAAAGACAGACACAAGCTGAGTTAAGAATTGGGTGGGACCAGAGGGAGAGCTTTGTAGAAGTGAACTGGGGCCGGGGGAGCCAGGAAGGGACAGGTCTTAACTATCCGTGTGGGTCCTCGGCTGGGCCCTGAAAGCAGACTTCGAATGCAAACTCAGGTCAAGAGGGGCTTAGGGCGGGGGGAAGGGTGCAGTGAGGTCAGGAAGGTGAGGAGCAGTAAAAGGGTGGGTGCATTTGGAGACCTACTGCCGCCCTGGATGGAAGATATGTCCTGAGCGACCCGAGGACAGAGCTCCGCCAGTGGCTTTCAGAGCCACCTGGAGGCTGTTGGGGGAGAGGATCAGTCAAAGGTCCTGGTCAAGTGGGAGAACCAGGAATGACCGATGAACCTCAAATAGTTCCAGTTGAGACCGCGTTCTGTGTTCTGCCTTTCACCCATGGAAGAAGTGAAGATGCAAGATTTTCCCTGGATGCTGGGGGGTGGGGGGCGCATGTGTGCATGCACATGCATGTTGGGGGAGGGGGAGGGGTGGCATCCCAAGGATGGAGGTACTGGGGCACCTCTGTGAAGGGGACACAGACCTGAGCTCTTAAAGGGTCCAAGTTGGAGCAGTGGCCCCCTCTTTGCCATGCATGCCTCCTTATTGCTTCACTGACAGATGACCTCTGCGCACCTGCTGGATACTCAGCTGGGCACCGCCAGGCCCTGGTGAGGGGGGAGATGTGAGTGGCCAGGGGTGGAGCCAGGGGTCAGTTTGGAAGCTCAGGGATGAAGGCAATGCCTTTCCACCTGAGGTCGAACCCAAGGGGTGTGGTCTTTAGAGAAGCTGGGGCAGGGTGAGTGTGTCGGCAGAATGGGGGGGTCCGGGGGAGCTCTGGGACCCTCTCTTTCCACAGCTCTAAGAAGACAGATCTCTTTGGGACACAAGGAGGGTATTTAACCTGTCCGGGTCAGAGTGTTTTCTAAATTTTCCTTCAGAGAGCACCCTTCTGTTCTGAGCTTTGGTGGTAGGGAGAAGGTGGACAGAGAGGGAGCGGCAGGGGTCTGCAAGGAGACGGACCAGCAGACAGACCCCTGCACTGGGGAGGACTGGGGGCAGGCCCAGGGCTGCAGTCCCCTAAAATTCCACTCACCTAAAAAAAAATAAAATTCCACCCACCTGACCCTCTCTCCTCCGGACCCTCCCTCAATACTGCCCACCTGAGGACAGGCACAGAGACTCTGGGAGAAGGGTGGGCTCTGGGTGGTCACTCACCCCCAATGGGACAGAAGGCGCCAGTCCTGGGGTCCTCAGGGTCCTCTTCAGGCTGCCACCTCAGACCCTGCTGCTGCTGGCCAGATCTTCCTGGAGTGGGACCAAGGAGGGCCCAGATCTGAGCAGACGAGATGTCAAGGAGGTTTTAGCGACCAGGCAATCCATAACACCGTGTGTGTTTCTATGTTGTTTCCAAGTCACACATCATTTTACATTTCCATTTTTGGAAATATAGAGATGATAGATAGATATAGATAGATAGATGATAGATAATAGAGATAGATAGATAGATGATGATAGATAGATGATAGATAGATAGATAGATAGATAGATAGATAGATAGATAGATAGATATAGATAGATAATATAAATATATGCTTACCTTGCCCACTCAGGTAGAACTTTGCCCATATTACACCTGAGAAGGCTGAGGTCAAACAACTAGGGCAAGAAGTTGGGACTTCAGCTCCAAGCGAGGGCTCTCTCCAGCTCCCTCGGTAACAAGGACAGGGTAGCACAGAGGCCTCAGGGTCCAGCCTGTCTGGTTTGGGCCTGACCCTGATATCTAGCTGGGTAGAAGCAACAAGGGTCCCACACTTGCACCTGGCTCTCAGCTAGGCCTTCCCCTCACCTGTCCACCAGTCAAAGGGTGTGTGATGTCCAACAGTGGCCTAGACCACCTGAAGCTTCCCTGGGCCTCCTGCCACCCTGCCCAGCCTCCACCCTAGCCCAAGGGGCCACTGACCTCCTGGCCCCCACTCACAGGTCTTGGGGTCCTCTTGTCTGGTTCCCTGAGAGGCCGCTTTCTGTGTCCTAGGAACAACAATGCTGACACTGGTCTGGATCTCACTGGGCACCAGGCACCACTGAGCCCCTCACTTGTTCATTTAATCACATCTGTTCTTCATACCACCTGGGAAGCATGGCTGTTAGGCCCATTTAATGGGGAAAATGAAGACCAGAGAGGTTGAGGGATCAGTCTGAGGTCACCTAGCAGGTGGCATGGTAGGGTGAAACACCCCAGGTCAGCCTGACTCCATCTCCAGGTTTAGCCACTGAGAAATAGGAGTTCCATGTACAAGGTTGCTCTTCAGCCCTAACACCCCCTCCAAGGCCCTCCCCACCCATGGTGTTGACAGCCATTGTTTGGAGTTGAGCTGAACAAATGAGTTGGAGCATGAGTACTGTGGGGCTCACACCTGCGTGGCCCTCTCCCTTCATCCAGCCCGGCCTCCAGTCCATCCACAGGCTGTTCCAGGTGTGTCCTTGCTCCATCAAAGACATGGCTCTTTTCCTGGCCTCCTCCCCCCTACAAGACCCTCCAGGTCAGGCTCAGGGGTCAAGAGAGAGCTTCTCCAGAACGCATGTTAAAGTGATCAAGATGGCGGAAAAAGCAATGAGATCGTCACCTAGAGAGAATTCCAGCTTCTACCTGTGCCTCCCAAGGGGTCCTGACAGACCCTCTGCTCTACCTCATGGCTCACTGGACCAAGGGACATGGGAGGGTCTGGGGAGCAGGAGTCACCCCGGCACAGTGCACCAAGGAGGCGTGGTGAGCACCAGCCAGACGTCCACTTGGGCGAGAAGGCAGCGAGCACCCAGCCCTCCTGCCTCCTTTGCTAGGACAGTGGTGAGGGACATGGCACCCTGGGTCCTTTTCCATGTCTGTCCTATCTCTGCAGCCTGAACCTGAGAATGAGGGTATATGTCTGGCCAGGTGAGCTGGACACCAGCCCTATCCTTCCTGAGACCCGCTGTGCAGGTCTGCACCTTCAACTGCCCAGAGTGGGTAAAGACAGATGCTCCGGCACCGCCTAGAACCCCACATGGGTGGCAGGGGCATTGATCCTGCAGGGGCATTGATCCTGCCTGCTCTGAGCAGAGATCCTGAGACCTCAGTTCTCAACAGGGAAGGCACAAAAGCTGCAGGTTATGGGATGCCCCAAGGACAGGAGCCTGTGTGAAATCTGGGGAGGGGCTGCTGAGTCTAGCGTGGAACTCAAAGGTCCCACACCCACTAAAGACACCATGCTGGCCACTGCTAGGGCTTCCAGGTGACCACCGAGAGGAGCAATGCCAGGGTTGGTGGGGCTGGAGCTGGGGTGAGAGTGGACAAGAGGGGCAACGATTGAAAAGACACCCCAATGCCTTTGGTAAGCTGAGCTCCAAGAAGTACCTCAGAGCCAATAAGCCTGTAAGGATTCTTTGAGTCCAGTGACCCCAGGTTCTCCGAGGTAGATCAGGGAGGGAGGGCTGGTGCCAGTTCTGTTAGGGATGTTCGTGGTGTTGGGTCTTAGTTGGAACCACGCTTGTCTGGCAGGTCCAGAGGTACTTACATGAGAGTTGTCCCAAGAGCTGTGCCAGAGAGGGGCTTGGGCAGCTGTGGGGATCTGGGGGCATCTAGAGGCTCGGATTCCGAGAGGGACACCCTGTATGAGCATTGCAACATATGCACCCCTTGAAT